TTACTCAGTTAAAAACATACAAGAGTGGATAGTAGACACTGGAGCTACCAACCATATGGTAGTTAATGTAAGCTTGGTAGATAAACCTTATATAGTGTCTAAAGAAGTGTATTTACCTAATGGAAATGTTGCTAAAGGCACTCATACTGGAACTAGTAGTGTTATTGCAAGGACATCTTTAACTAATGTGCTGCATTTGCCTCAATTCAAGTTCAATTTGATGTCTGTGTCAAAACTCACAAAAGAGTTAGGATGCTCAGTAAGTTTTTTTCCTGATTTTTGCTTGTTTCAAGATCTCTCCAATGGAATGGTGAAGGAGATTGGTAGAGAGGAGAATGGGTTGTATATTTTGACTAGAAGTTCAAAAATACTACAGTCTCAAAACAATGGTTGTGTTTGTACTGTGAAAGGAAATCATATTCATAAGAAGTCGAACTATGGCACAAAAGGCTTGGGCATGCATCCACAAAGTCATTGAACAAGATTTTGTCAATAAAGGTTGAGTGTGTAGCAAATACACTGCATAATTGTACTGTTTGTCCTTGTGCAAAACAAGTTAGAAATTCTTTTCCTACAAGTAGTATACAAACTTCATCATGCTTTGATCTTGTACACATGGATGTATGGGGTCCTTACAAAGTACCTACATTTGATGGTAATAGATTTTTTCTCACTATGGTTGATGATTTTTCAAAGATAACTTGGGTTTACTTATTGAAATTAAAGTCTAATGCTTGTGTAGTCATTAAACAGTTTATTGAGTATGCTAAAACTCAATTTGGTAGATCTGTTAAGGTCATCAGGTCTGATAATGGTACTGAGTTTGTCAACTCAGTGTGTAAGGAATTGTTCAACAAATTTGGCATAGTTCATCAAACAAGTTGTGCCTATACTCCTCAACAAAATGGGGTAGCTGAGAGAAAACATAGGCACTTGTTAGAGGTAACAAAGGCCTTAAGATTCCAAGTTGAAATACCTATTAGATTATGGGGTCTATGTGTGTTAGCTGTTGTACACATAATTAATAGACTACCTAGCTCAGTATTAAAAAACAAGTCTCCATATGAGGTGTTTTATAACAAGAAGCTATGTATTTCACATTTAAGAGTTATTGGATGTCTCTGTTATGCAAAGGTAGTACAAGAGCTTAATAAGCTAAGTCCAAGATAAAAAATGATAGTTCATATGGGATATTCAATGACTCAAAAAGGGTATATCCTTTATGATCTAGAAACAAGGAAGGTGTTTGTTAGCAGGGATGTTATGTTTAGGGAAAATATTTTTCCTTTTAAAACAAACACTAGTGTGTCATGTAATAGATTGTATGTTCCTTGTGATATTGAATATGGTGGAGATGAAATACCTGAAGGAGTTGTGGTACATGGAGGTACAACACCTCAAAATCTGGTCCAAAGCTCACAGACAAAAGAAACTAGACCAGTAGAAATTCATGTGGTACTAGTCAGTGGTACAAGAAGGTCTGTGAGAGACAAAAATCCTCTTGTTTGATTAAAAGATTTTGTTTCTATAAGTGTGAATGAAACAATAGATTATCCTATGTCCAAGTATGTTGTTTATGATCATTTAGCACCCAAGTATCAAGCCTATGCTGCTGCTTTCTCTGCATACACTGAACCTAGTAGTTATTGTGAAGCCACCAAAGATCCTAGGTGGGTGGAGGCTATGAAGGAAGAAATTAGTGCATTACAACAAAATAACACTTGGGAAGTAGTGTCTGTGCCTGAAGGAAAAAAACTTATTGGATGTAGGTGGATTTACAAAGTAAAATACAAATCTACTGGTGAAGTGGAAAGGTTCAAAGCTAGGTTGGTAGCCAAGGGGTATAGTAAAAAAAAAAGGGATTGATTATTAAGAAACTTTTTCTCCAGTAGTTAAAATGAAAACTATGAAATTAGTACTAGCTATTGCAGCAACAAAACAATGGCGCATATTACACCAAATGGATGTGTTCAATGCCTTTCTACAAGGTGATTTGTTTGATGAGATTTACATGGAGTTGCCTCAAGGATTTCTGAGTCTGGGGGAGACTAAGGCAGTGTGCAGACTCAAAAAATCCTTGTATGGATTGAAACAAGCCCATAGGCAGTGGAATGCTAAGTTAACTGAGGCACTTCTTAAGTTCAAGTTTCAACAAAGTCAATATGATCATTCAGTATTTACAAAGAAGAGCACAAAAGGCATCACCATTGTTCTTGTATATGTGGATGATATGCTCATCACAAGTGAAAGTCTCAGTCTGATCAATGAGACCAAAAGGTACTTATAAGAAGCATTCAAAATGAAGGACTTAGGAGAGTTAAAGTATTTCCTTGGCATTGAATTTGCAAGGTCAAATGAAGGTATTCTCATGCATCAAAGGAAGTATGTATTAGAGCTGATTTCTGAAACAGGTCTAGGGGCTGCAAAACCTGCTATGACTCCTATGGATGCAAATGTGAAGTTAACATCAAAGGAATATGATGATTATGTGCTCAAAACTCAAGCAGAACCTATGGCTGATCAAGGCTCTTATCAGAAACTCATAGGAAAACTTTTGTACATCACTATGACCAGACCTGATATTTCATTTTGTGTACAGACCCTGAGTCAGTTTTTACAAGCTCTTAAACAGTCTCATTTGGAAGCAGCAGTTAGAATAGTTAGATATCTAAAAAAAGAGCCAGGGCAGGGAGTCTTACTATCTAGCAATAAGAACATTGATATATCAGCTTATTGTGATGCAGACTGGGCTGCTTGTCCTAACTCTAGAAGGTCTGTAACAGGATTTGTAGTGAAGCTTGGTGACTCTCCTATCATATAGAAGTCTAAAAAACAAACAATTATCTCCAAGAGTTCAGCAGAAGCTGAATACAGAAGCTTGGCTTCAACAGTAGCAGAGTTGATATGGATAATTGGGTTAAAAAAGAACTTAGTGTGGAGGTTACTCTTCCAGTTAAGGTGTGTAGTGACAGTAAAGTTGAGATACAAATAGCTGCAAATCCAGTGTATCATAAAAGGACTAAACACATTGAGATAGATTGTCATTTCATTAGAGAAAAGATTATGCAAAGAATGGTTTCTACCAACTACATTCCTACAAATGAACAACTTGCAGATATGTTAACCAAAAGCTTTCCCAGAGTTCAATATGAAGTTTTGAGTTCCAAGTAAGTATTCAAAACATTTTTAGAGTACCTAACTTGAGGGGGAGTATTGAAGGTATTAAAGGAGTCACTTAGATAGCTAGGTAAGTGATAAGAAGTTAGTTACTATATTAACTAACTTCCTGAAAGGTTAGTTATTTTAATAGCTGTCAGTTAGTTAGGATTAGGGTAGTTTTGAAGTCTATATAAAGTTGTATTTGTAAGCCTATTAAAGGCATCGTGGTTAATGAGAATAACAAGATAAAACTCTCTTAATTCTTCTTCTTATTCCTCACTTCTTCTCTTCTTCTCTTAGATGTTCTTCTTTACTTTACATACTTTCTCATATAGTTTCAAATAGAAACCAGCTTGACAGCTCCATGATCGTCAGGGTACGGGGGAACAAACTCGCGTTTAATACACAAATTAGGATTTTGTGGACTGGGGATTGGGAAGACGTCACGCAATTGACATGATTTAATGCGATAAGTGTGTGGAGTTTGTCTAGTATTTCTATCGATAGCCAATTCATGAGTACTATGACATATAGTTCTAAAGCCCCTTCTGCCTTGAAATTCAAAATCGATACTTATAATCGGCGTCATAGATAGTGTGTATTTTATAAAGAATACAAGAAAGATGGGTCCATAAAAAGAGTATTCCAGAGCTTGCATACACATTTGAATTTGTACAATGGCCGAAGGGGAAAATAACTCAAGATATGGAATATTATTTCATTTGGAAGTTTCATGATCGGTAGCAAAGAATTGAAAAAAAAAATATTTGGTACAAAAAGAGAGTTGGCTTGTTAATTTTCGTTGCAAGGAAGAGAAAAGAGAAGGTATTTATAAAAAACTACATGGCCAAAATTCCCATATCTGATTAGTATATGAATGAAAATATTTTATTTATAAATTCAAAGATTTTTGAATTTTACTTCAAGTTCTATTTGTATAATTCTGTATGTTTCTGTATATTGAAAATAACACTAACATATCTATTTATAAAAGTAAAAACCAAATTAAAGTAGGACTAAGAATCACTCTAATTAACAAATCCTAAACAATTTAGAATTTCTATTCCAACTTTGAATTATTATTTCCAATCGTTTATATTTATATATATATAGAGAGAGACTCTCTCATTCCATATTATAGGGGGATTACTTTTCTTTTTCAAATTAGGAAAATTAAATGGGCAAACTGTAGTGACGTGCCTTAGTATGACAATAGTTGAATATTCATCCATCTAAACTTGTATTTTCCCCCCTTAAAATTCACACTTATTATAATAAAAATAATAAAAATAAAATAACTAGATAGAGCATGTGCTAATATCACAAGTTCCATAAAAATTGTTGCAACTGTTATGTCTTGTATTATGATTAGCAATCAGAAACAATAAGGATGAAAAGAAAAAAACTATCCGAGTTAACAGAACCCAATATGTATTCTTAAAAAATTTAATGATTAGATTTCAAATTTACAGCAAATTATTGTCGAAACGTGTTTTGAATAAAGAATTAATAAAATGTATTTAATAGTAATATTTTATGTTTGTTTATCCATCAAATATTTATTTTTTTCCATTATTTTTTACATGTATAAAATAATCTCAAAAACATTTTATTACTTTATATATATTATTTAGTTGAATTGATTTAAATAATAATGCCATTAAATTTTTAGTAGCTCATATATAAAACTCAAAAAACTCTAACATGGTGACTATCGAATTGATCCTTTTGCCCTAAAATTTTATTTGAAAATTGGATTTCTCCATTGATTTCAGCCCCCAAATCTCTCTTTCTCTGCCATTTTTCTCCATTGCTAAAACCAGTTTCTCCTTCCCTTTTTCCTCACCCATCTCATTGCAAATCCCACAACTTCTACTGTTAAACTGTTGTTGAAAAAAATAAGAGTATGCTTTGGGTTTTGAAGAGTTTATATTGATTGATATGTATAAAGCTCTTGGTAAGCATAGACTCATATATCGTACTCGCATTTCAAATTACGTGAAAACTGGTTTGGTAAACGAAGCACTCCAAGTGTTTGACAAAATGACTCAATCAGATTGTAGAGTTTTCAGCATTGATTACAATAGAATTATTGGTGTTTTGGTTCGTACTTCGCATTTTGATTTAGCAGAAGGGTATTATAATGAGATGAAACCAGTTGGGTTTTCTTTGAATTCATTGACATATTCAAAATTTATTTGTGGGTTGTGTAAAGTTAAGAACTTTGATCTTATTAGTAGGTTATTAAATGATATGGATAGGGTTGGGATTGTACCCAACTTTTGGGCGTATAATATGTACTTAAATCTTTTGTGTAGTGAAAATTTGGTGGATATTGCTTTGGAGTTGATTAGAGTAATGGGAGAGAAAGGGAGAGAGCCAGATGTAGTGAGTTATACTATTGTTATTAGTGGGTTGTGTAGGATTGGACGGTTCGATAATGCTGTTGAAATGTGGCATACGATGATTAGGAAAGGTTTAAGACCAGATAATAAGGCATGCAAAGCTCTTGTTTTTGGGCTGTGTGGGAGTGGTAAGGTTGATTTGGCTTATGAGCTGACTTTGGGTATTCTAAGGGGTCAAGTCAAATTCAACACGGAAATATATAATACGCTGATAAATGGATTTTGTCGAGCTGGTAGGATTGACAAAGCACAAGCAATTAAGACATTCATGAGGAGAAATGGGTGTGAACCAGATTTGGTTACTTATAATGTGTTCTTGAATTATTGTTGTAACGAGCTTATGTTGGAAGAGGCGGTGAAGTTGATAGAGAAGATGGAAGGAAATGGGTTGGAACCTGATGGTTACAGCTATAACCAGCTTCTCAGAGGTTTCTGCAAAGCGAATAGATTAGATAAGGCTTATAAGTTAATGGTCGACAAGATGGAAACCAAAGGATTGGTAGACGTTGTTTCTTACAATACTATTATTAGAGCACTCTGCAAGACAGACCACAGTAAGAAGGCATACAATCTCTTCGAGGAGATGGAGCAAAAAAAAATTGTCCCTGATGTTGTAACTTTTACGATTCTTATAGAAGCTTCTCTAAAAGAAGGCAATTCTAGTGTAGCTAAGGCACTTGTTGATCAGATGACCAGTATGGGCCTTTTTCCTGATCGTGTACTGTACACTTCTATTATAGATAACCTGTGCAAGACGGGTAAATTAGGGGTGGCTGAGAGCATTTTCCGTGATATGGTGGAACAGGGTGTTGCTCCTGATGTTATCTCATATAATGCACTAATCAGTGGATTTTGCAAGGCTTCTAGAGTAACAGAAGCACTGAGTCTTTATGAAGATATGCAAGCCAGAGGTTTGAATCCTGATGAAATCACCTTCAAATTGATTATTGGAGGTCTCATACAGGAGAAGAACCTCTCAGTGGCTTGTGCAATCTGGGATCAGATGATGGAAAAGGGTTTTACTCTTGACCGAGATTTATCTCAGACTCTTATTAATGCAATCAACCCATAGGTTGCACAGTATCCTGAATGGTTTGTATCTATGAACACCCATCTGGTTATATCTTTTTACATTTTCTGATGGAACACCTATGTGGTTACTTCTTTTGTATGTTTCTGATATTTATTTGCATATTGGGCAGTTGCTTATTTGTCAAATATCGCCCGTACCCGTTTCTGCTTTACAATCAACAGTCTTTGCAAAGTTTCCTGTCTTGCAACTACTGTTTGTGTCTTGTGTTTTGGTTATCACATGATTTTGTTGATGTTACTGTTTTCCTTCCCTATATGCTACGTGATGCTTCCTTAGTACATGTTTTATTTCTTTCCTTTTGTATGTTCTTTGATTTGTGTTACCTGAGCTGGGAGTCTTTCGGAAACAACCTCTCTACCTCCATATGGTTAAGGTCTGTGTACGCCCTACCCTCCCCACACCCCACCTTGTGGGACTACACTGGGTATGTTGTTGTTATGGCTTATTTGTCCAATAAATACTATTCTATATATTTCTGGATCATCTAAAACTTTAGATTGACTAGTTGAGATTGAAAGATTTGTCCTGGAGAATATGAATATTTCTGCTTCAAACAAACAGATATCATGGAACTTATGATTGCCTTTTAAAATATTTTTTATTAAAAGATGGTTTAATTGGAAGTTGGAATTTCAGGCTGACTTGCTTTGAATCCTTCATTGGCAAATTCTATGGGATTTGCAGCTCTTGGAACTCATTATTTTAGACCTGTTATATTCAAGGAAATGCCAAAATCACCGAGATTTCAAGTTGTTTAACCCAAGATGAACATTCATCTGGCTGCTCTGGACTGAAAGTTCCAGAGGTATAATCTTTAGAAATTTAAACTGATTTTTTGAAGGCAATGCTTTCTTACTCAGTATGGATTCTGTACTATGATTGTTTTGACGATTTAACATCAGCTGTCTTGATGGCTAAACTTCTAGGAACTTGTGAGCTGTTGAAGTGAAGTGCAAAATTGAGTTGATTTTACTTTTAGGGGCACCTAAACTAAAAAATACACTGCTGTTGTGCAATATAGAGTATTCATTCTTGACATTTTACCTACAAGAATAAAGAGAATTTTTGGTTACTGATATATGTTTCTTTGTATGATGTAGTGAATGACCACAAGAAGAGGTATCATTTAGAAATGCTTGCAGTTGAACCATGTCAGTGATACATCTTCCCCCTTCCTTCTCAGATTTCTCTATGCTGATGTACAATATAGAACCATGTGTCTTGCATGTGGTTAAGTTTCATGAAAAGAGCTAGCCAGGAAAGGTTAGTTTGGTTACACAGTGAATTACCACAAGTCCATTAAAATAGAGGAAAATCTGACAGTGGTGTTTATCTACATCATATTCTGATCTCTTTAGATTATAGTTTTTTCTCTTCTTTGTCTAAATACAAAACAATTTGTAAATATGAAAGGAGAAGATGAGAAAAGAAACATTCAAAAGATGTTTCTTCCCACTTTTCTTACCTGTGTATATTTCTGTTGCAGATTTGCAGCTTTTTCTGAATTTGCTTACTCGTGAGACGATTTGAGCAATTTCTGCATAAGTTGATGAAACTATTTTTAGGCAGAAGAAGGGAAATACTATAGTTGCCAAAAGGTATCGTTTTTCTCTAACTCTCAATTTTGTCAATGGTTGGATAAATTGCACAATGATATTGAGCTTTGATTTTTTAAAATGTAACTTGCACATACATATTGACCAATAGAAATTTCTAATTGCATCAATCTATCGATGCATCTTTTTAAGTTTTGTTGGAATGTCTTCATTTCTTTGGATGAACTTATTTTGCATAAATATCATGGCTTTGTTATTGAAAGTTATACTCATTTCATTGCAATTTCCATAAATTGAACTTCAATAATGTCCTGAAATAGTGGTCTGAATTCTTTAATAGACTGGCCTTACTTTCTCCCCAATGAAGGCATGGAATAAATGATATAATTTAAGAGTTGAACAATCATTGAGGACAGTCATGTATTGTTTGTCAAATTACTGAACCCCCCCCCCCCCCCTCTTTTTGGACCAATTCTTTTGATGTTTTTTATATCTTTGCCTACTAGCCTCTGTTGGAGTAGCGCTCTGCATAGACGAGCATAATTAGCTAGAATAGTTTGAGAAAAATCGGGTAGGAGTGTTCTAATAATTGGTTAAATTTGAACTAGAAGTACAAACTCTCGAGGTCACATGCTCTTCATGCTTAGGTTCGTAGTTTCAATGATTTTCTTGGGGTTACTCAACAAGTAACATAGGAGGAGAAAGCTTGAATTATCTGAAGCTAGAAGTCAGTCTCCTTTAAATTGTCATACCCATGGATCTCGTGTTCTCTCCATTCAATTGGCATTCTATTTATTTCATCTCGTTGTATAGTGTGGTAAGTAATTTGTAAATGCAAAGGCACTTTTCCCCGTAGGTGAATACTGTTAATGAACTTATTTTTTATGGTGAAAGATGATCAAAGACAATGTATTCTCAGCAATTTTTTGCTCATTTTATGAATACTTTTTTTGCATCTTTACTTTAGTTTTAAGTTAGTTCTGTCCCTACAATGCTTTTGGTCTGGCCGAGGGTCTATTGGTAACAGCCTCTCTACCTTTGAAGATACGGTTAAGGTCTGCATACACTCTATCTTCTCTATACTCCGCTCGTTGTATTACAGTGTGTTTTGCTGTTGTTGTTGTTGCAATGCTTTCAGTCTTATGCAGATTTTTGTCCACCTAGCTACTTGTATTTGATTTTCTTTTGTTTTAATTGTTGTAGTACTTAATCTAGTTCTATACCTGAAAGATGGGTAAATTCAACTGGAGGTAATCCATAGGTGGATTGTTTAATGGTGCTCTTTTTAGACAGTTGTGTAATTTGGAGAAAACTTTTGGTGGATATGCTAGCGTGCATGATCTCACTGCTCCCGTACTGGATATTTTCACCAAGGGGAAACCTGTGAAAGCATCTTTACAGGCAAGTCTACTTTTATTATCGGTATTGCATCCTGAAAGTAGTGTTTGCACTTTTGCATAACCAATTGAATTTTTTCAGATATCATTGGCACAACTGGGAAAAACCGTATGTGGACACACCTTGAGCGTCAAGCTGAAGGACAGGTCAAGGGTATGGGTGAAAAACAAATTGAAGTAGACGAGAAAATTTTACGTGCTCAAGTAAGCGATTTTGATTTATCATAAACTTTCTGTCCAGTTCAGATTGAAGTAGAGCTAGATATTGACCCCCTCTATTTATTAATTTTATGGACAATTCTAGAGGTTGGACTATGGTGTGAGTAATATTTTGATCTTTGGTTCTCAAATCTAACTTTTTGCCTGTGATAGCGCCTTTCAATTGCTGGAAATGAAGAAGCAATGACAAAATACTATAGAGAGTATGACAAAGCATTCGGAACAGTAACTACAACAGAATAATTTGATGGTCAAGGTACAAAAAGCGGCAGATAGTAACAAAAATCGAGTAATTGATCTCGAAAGTAGCTGTGTGAAACCTTTTAACCAGTGACCGTGAAGGAGGTGGTTGCAGAGGACAAGTCTTCGTCTGCAACTATCTAAAGAAAGTGCAGCGGAGTAAGAAACTACGACAAAGAAAAGAAAATTAGAAGCTAAAAGATCACGTGAACCTGAGGTTAAAAAAGAGGTAATGGTTTCCCTTTTGTTTCATCATTCAGCCTGAAATTTACTGGTTCGACTAATTCAAATTCACATTGAAAGATCCGTTAAAGAAGTTTTTCATTTCAAGGGCTCGAATTCAAAACTTCTAATAAACAGGGAGGGATCACAATATGATGCCTTTGGGAATTTTTTTGTTGTTGTTGTTGGTATATGGACATTTTCTTTAGTAGTGATTTGTCATAGTCCATTTAAATATTCGAATCGAATTGTTCCCTGCAAAAATGCATATAGAAATAATTTATCTCTTTAAAGTATTTATGTAAATTTATCATTTATCTTTTTCTTAAATGTCTCATTTTATTTATTTTTTAAAAAAAAGAATGAAAGAACTTCTGGATTTTCTAAAAAGAATTAAATATTGCCAATCGATCTGTCGACCTAATTCTAGTCATCCTTACCTTCCTCCGGCTTATTATCAACAGTCTGTTTATTTAGAGTTTTAATTTTAATAATGGTAATTAAACACAAGGGTTGTGTTCGTTATTGGACTTAACTCAACACCTTATAACACAAGTTGATGATAATCATGTTCCACTATTTGTGTGGATTCTCGTTAATTCCTTCGAGTTAGACAAAATATCACGCTCACAGGCTCTATTGAACAGAGCTACCTTGAACGCAAGCGACTAGATTGTTAAGTATTTGTATTGATCTTATCTATTTCGATGAAGTATAATGAGAATCACATTTTAATGAATATATCACTGTCATTCTTTTAATAAAAAATAAAAGTAGAACAATTTTTTTTTTAACACACGTACGTGCACCCACAAAGTTGTTCATTCACCATCAAATTGCATTGCCTTTTTAATAAAGTGGGATCCTTCACAGTTCACAGTCATATTCCCACTTTGCTTTTTTCTTACTTTTTTTTTTTTCACATTTAAGCATTTCACTCAGGATGTGTTTGGTATAAAAACAATATTTTCTATAAAATATTATTATTTTTATTTATTTATTGATGTAGTAAATAAATAAGTAAAAAAGTATTATTTAAAAATATTCATTTTTAAGTTAGGGAAACACTATAATAAGATTCGAGGATCGGGGATTTGGGGTCATTAAAAAGTGAGAAGGAGATAATAAATTTGAAATATCACTTTATTAGAGAAGTCGTCGTTGAGGATCTATCGGAAACAACATTTCTATCTTTAAGGTAGTCTTGATACTTTCTATTTTTCAAATCTTATTTTGTGTAGTTACGTTGAGTATGCTAATATTGTTATTGTAATTTCACTAAGAAAATCTTTTTAAAAACTATTTTCCTAAAGAAAAAATATGTCAACCAAACATGAAAAATTCGAAAACATTTTAAAGAAAATTATTATCTTCCACGACAAACACACCTTTAACTAATAGTCTAATAATTCAAGAAATACAAATTAATTTTTTTTAAAAATAAAAATCTTTTTAAAAGAAAAAAATATTTAAAACAAATTGAATTTGTCAGAATGATTAGTATTTATTATTAGGTTCTATGGTGTTCTAAATAATGAACTTTGATACCAAATAAATTAACTTTCTTAATTCTGACTTTTCTCAATTTGTTTATATTTGTTTTGGTCATATAAATATACAAAATATTTAGCTTTAGTTTATTAGAGCTTAAATTAATAAAATTGACTTTTTAAAAGATATTGAATCAAACCAAATAACATCTATTTTTATTTCAATTTATTCAATATATACCTTTCTAAATTAAAGTCAAAGAACTTCCCTTTATTTTTTTTTCCTTATTTGATTTTAATTTAAATTAATATTTAAAAATATATCTTAACTATCCATTTTTTACGAGTTTCATACTTCAACTGTCTAAATTTTCCTTGACCCCTATCTAAGCCATCATAATACCGAGTTAACCAAACTATTCCCATTTGGCAATAGACGTGTGTAAATTAACTCAGCATTTCAGATATGTTATGATTTACGCAGGTAAATAAAATAATAAATAATTAAATTATGAAATTCACAAAAAATTAATACTTTAAGGGTCTATTTGGAAAGCCACCTGGTAATTGGAATTGGTGTAATTACTAGGGTAGTAATTACCTACCTAGTAATTACATTGACTTGTTTGGTTGCCACAGTGTAATTACACATGTTCTGTTTGGATGCACAATTGCAATCATAAAATTATAATAAATTTTAAAAATAAAAATGAATTATTTAAAATTTATACTAGACAAATAAGAAACTTTATAAATGACATTAAATTAAATATTTAAGATATATATTCTTTTTTTAAAATATATTAATTATGAAAAAATAATTTCTTTATATTTTTTCAAATTAATATATTTCAATTGAATTGATCGTAACAACTAAAAGTATGAAGTTTCTACGAACATCGTGAAATGCATGTTTGATAAAAAGAATAATATATAAATAAAATGTCATAAATTATTAAATGTTTGAAAAAAAATATAATTTATCAACTCTAATTAAAAATGACGTGCAATGTAGATTCAATATTACTAAAACAAATGAAACTGAAAATATAACATAAGTTATAAATTCAAAACAAAAATTTTAACATAATACTCTTATAACAAATTTCAACATAGCAATAAATATGATTTAGTTTTAATTTTTCTTAATAAAGAAAACGTAAGTCTATAACCTTGCTTAACAATAAATTCTATTTTTATTTAAAATTAGAATATAATAAAATTATGCTAATGAGAAAATAAGCATGGCATAAATAAATAGATAATACAAAAAAATTACATAGAATCACGTAAAGTAAGGTTGAGAATAAAAAGAAAATTAAATATAATAATATAAAATAAAAAATAAACTTTTACAATTTTTTAGAGTAATAAAATTAAAAAAAAGAACTTAAAATAATAGAAGTAAAAAAAATTAAAATAGAAATAAAAAAAATAATCAGGTGGTAATTACCATGTAATTACCAGCAATTCACAGTTTATGCCTGTGAATTGTAGAGTGTAATTATCCCTGCCAATTACACCAATTACCTGCTGACCAAGTAATTACATGTCCTTCCAAACAGGACAAGACAGTTATACCAATTACACCAAATCCAATTATCATGTGTCCTTCCAAACAGGCCCTAAATGTATTTTTGACAATCAACTCTTTTTATTTTCAATTTGTTTTTTTTTTTTTGGTTGAATAAGAATCCTAATGGGATTGTTATAATCCGATGTACTATTTTTTTTGTACTACAAAATTAAGCAGCCACCAGAAAAAGTTGCGATCGTCCACCGTTCATTTTCATCTCCGATTCACCGGCGACGGCGCCGATGAATTCCCTGAACTCCGATTTCACCTGTTTTATGAGTTCGAATCATGTGGAGCTGTATCGTTTCTGAATTCATTGGATTTTGAAATTGTTTTAGGTATTAATTTCTTATACCCTTATCGTTATTTTTATCGAATTTTGATTGAATTGGTGTATAATCGGAGTTTTAATTTCTTGTTCCACAAAAAAAAAAATGATGCGAGGTAGGAATTTTAATGTTTCCATGCATAACTGTAGTTTTTTTTTAGTTTTTTGAGTTGTAACTCTTATTTGATTTGAAAAACTTTTAAAGGGTTTCTGATTATCTGATTCAATTGCATACTATGGTTATTAGTGATGGATTATTCTTTTGAGCCGAGGGTCTATTGGAAACGGACCAGGGTAAGGTCTGTGTACATCCTGGTTTACCAGACCCTACTTGTGGGGTTATGCTGGGTATGCGGTTGTTGTTGTTGGATTATTTTGTAGAATTGTTGAATTGAAAGTTGAAAGTTTTGATTTTTGACTCTGAGGTCTGAAATCCTGTGAACTTTTTTATTGAGTATATTTGGTTGTGGTATTGAAGTAAAGGCAGGAGCTTTAGGTTATTGTAGATATTCTTTTTGTAGTGTTGGGTTATTCTTTTGAGCCAAGGGTCTATCAGAAATAGCCTCTCTAGCTCACATAGGTAGGGGTGAGGTCTACGTGCATACTACTTTACTCAAACCCTGCTTGTGGTGTTACGCTAGGTATGTTGTTGTTGGATTATTTTGTAGAATCGTTGAATTGTAAGTTGAAACTTTTGTTTTTTGACTCTGAGGTCCGAATTACTGGGAACTTTTTATTTATTGATTCTATTTGGTTGTGGTATGGAAGTAAAGGCGGGCGCTTTAGGTTATTGTAGATATTTTTGTGTTACCTTAACTTTGATATGAACTTCATATGAAACAAAAGGGAATCTGTGAAGAAAGGTGGTTGGTCTTGAATGTACATGTTCTACGAAGGAACTGGGTTGATGAGCCTCCAATAGAGTTTATATACATAGGAAGTGAACC